CCACCGGCGGGGGAGCCACGTGCCCCCCCTTTCCCGCGGTTCCCGCCTCGGCGTTCCCCCGCTTCCTTCCGCGGCCCCGCCCACGTTCCGCCGCCCCTTTGTTCTCCCCCCGCCGTTGCCTAGCGAAGCCACGCCCCCCTCGGGAGCTGATCAGGCCACGCCCCCTTCCCCCGGCGGAGCGGAGGGCGCACGGGGTGGTGGTGGTGGTGGTGCTGCTGCTGCGCTGGCGTCGGGCCCTCCCTTGGCAGTTCCCCCCCTTTCATGGCGCTAGGGGGCGCCTCCTTGGTGCTGGTGCTGCTGGTGTGGCTGTGGAACCCCTGGCCACCGGACGGCGGGGGCGGCGGCGGGGGCCGGGCTGAGGGCACGGGCAACAACAAGGTCTCGGCCCCGCCCGACCTGGTGGCCAAGGTGCCCCTGGCGGCCAAAGCCCTGGTGGCGGCCGGCTACACCAGCACCGCCGAGGAGGAGTCGGCCGAGGTGGAGGCCACGGCGGCGCACGGCATGGCCTCGGAGGTGGTGGTGGTCACCCCGGGCCCGGGAGGGACGTCCTCCGGGAAGGAGGCCGTGGTCATCGTGGGCGACTCCCGCTACAGCTGGCAGCCGTGGAGCCCCTGGCACTGCAACTGCCCGGCGGGGAGCATGTCCCGGGTGCGGAACATCACCTACGCGGTGCCCGGGGTGCGCCTGGACCCCGTCCAGTACAACGTCCTGCGCCTGGAGCGCGAGGTCTGCAGCTACGCCCTCTGCCCGTCCTGCAACCGCACAGCCCGCGAGTGCGACCGGCCGGCCGTCCCCTGCGCCAAGGGGCCCGACTACCTCTGCGCCCTGGACGACATCCGGCAGGACCGCGAGCACCAGCGGCGCCACTTCTGGACCCACGTCCACCAGGGGCTCAAGAAACTCTGGCAGACCGTCCGGGAGGCCTTCCCGTCCCAGGCGGCGGAGAAGGTACGGGCCACTTGCTGGGCCCGCGGGCCGCTTGCTGGGCAGGGCTGGCAAACCTCACCCTTTGGGGGACGGCGGCGACCTCTGGGTCTGGGAGTCCGAGGCTGAACCAGGAAAGCTGCTCCCTTCTGGGGGAGCGTGATGAATATCCAAGAGCACTCTACCTTTATTCTCACAGGCACGGAGATCAGTGCCTGCAGGCCGCCGCGTGGAGGGGGGGCCCAAGGGAGGCGAAAGGTGATGGTGCTCACCTGCCCTCCCCCTGACCAGACCCACTTCCTGGGGAGTTGAACCCCTGAGACGCCCTTGCAGGCAGAGGGGTCAGCAAGGTCACCCCACAGTGGTGCTTTCTCTCCCCCCCCCCTTCAGAGGTATAATCATGTGTTGGAAACCACAATTTTTGTCACCCCCAAACTGTTCTAACTTCCTGTTTTCAACAGCGGACCACTTGAGGCTTCTTGGATGCCCGTCCCCAGGTTTCACAGATAGACTGCTCCCAAACAGTGAGGCCCCACTTAGCCCATGCGTTGGTTTCATATTTTTAAATTCACTCACTACATCCTTTGGGTTCCAGCCTTTGACCTGGATCTGGCCCGAACCCTAGAGAAAACCCAAAGGCCGGTGGCTTTTCAGTGGAATTTGGCCACAAACCCCATCGGCTGGATCAGAGCCGCCCTTTCCTTCCACAGAACCGTCTAGAGCAGTGGTCCCCAACCTTGGGCCTCCAGATGTTCTTGGACTTCAACTCCCAGAAATCTTGGCCAGCAGAGGTGGTGGTGAAGACTTCTGGGAGTTGTAGTCCACAAACATCTGGAGTCCCAAGGTTGGGGACCACTGGTCTAGAGATCTACCTCAGGAGCCAAAGTTCCCCGATACCACGATTGGACTTACTCATCATGATAGGGTTGAGCTTTTCTCCCGCAGATGCAAGGAAACTCCTGCTGATCCTGGTTGCCTCCAAGATCCTCTTTCCCCCTCGAGATGTTCCTTAGGAGACGGTCACCCATTTCCCCGTAACGCCTGCCCATTTCGCACTGAAGACACACCCCCAGCGCTGATCCTTACCTTTTCTTCTCTCTCTCTCTTTTTTTAAACTTTAGATAACTAAAGACAACAACAAAGAGCGCCCAGCGTGAAAAGAAATCCCAACAGATCTCCGAAGATCTCCCCAGGCTGGTGAAGTCATGGATCTTCCTAAGAAATACTGTTCTTAGAATTCCCCCCCCCACCTTCCTTAAAGATTTTTCTTTACCAAGAAGTAATTTTTTTCCACAACAGTTGAAGGCTCCTTTATTTTGAGGGAGAAACCGAGGACTGGGTCGGGAGGCCTCACACCAGCCACTGATGCGGAACCCCCCCCAAAAAAAATTAAATTAAAGTTGCATGTTGGAAAGGAGAAAAAAAATTAGGATTTCTCCTCCTCTAGCCTCCACACTATCCTCGCCTGACTCTTCTCAGTTCTTTGCAAGACGCTTAATAAAAATGTCACTTCCTGCCTATTTGAGCTTTCTAGTTCTCTTGCATTTTAACACGGATCTAGGCTTTCCCCTCCCTTCAAACGGGTGGTGGCCGGCCATAAAGAGATTTTAATCCAGATTTCAAAACTCCTTTTTATTTTGCACTTTTCTTAACTGCTAAAAAAAATCCTTTCCCTTTGTGCATTGAAACAACTTGGCTGATTTTGGCCCCAGGAGATTCTTTTTCCTCTGGAGAGCAAACTCTGCAGAAAAACCTTGCCGAA